AAAATAAAATTAAAGGCGGGAACATGAAAGAAAAGGAATAGAATGGGATGTTTAAAGAGCTGGAGTAGGAAATTAAAATGTCAGATGGAGTTAGAAAGTAGATTAAGTTCACCTAAAGCCCAGCATTATTGTCAGAGAGAAACGAGAAGTGAGGTAATCAACCAGACCTGGAGAGGATATAGCTGGTGGGTCCCTGATTGATTGTAGACATGAAGAGACTAGATTTTTGACTTGAAAGTCAGCTAGAAGCTAATAATTCCTAACTGGGCAAGGGATACCATTGAAAACCAGGATGATGATGGTGGTGATGATAGCAGTAATAAACATTAACAGTTACCATTTATTGAGCACCTACTATATGCCAGACCCTCTTGTTAGTGCTTCACTAGTACCATCTTATTTAATCCTCACAACCACTCTCTAAAAGTGACTATGATTATCCCAGTTTTGCGGAGGGAGAAACTCAAGAAGTGGAGTATCTTAACCAGTCTCTGAGGATAGAGGAAAGAGAGCCAGGAGGCACTGAGGCAACCCAGTGAATTAAAGAAATTCGCATGACTCCACAATCATTTAAACAGGTCTAAGGAGCAGGCAAATTACTTGCACAATATAATTTCTGCAGAATAAACCAGCTCACCGTACACCCATCAGTGTACTGGCTAGAATTCTAGGGGGAGGACGAAAATTCAGTATCTTATGTGCTTTCAGGTATATAAACGACATACAATACTCAAACTAAATTTACAGGCTACAAGTGCAAAGTGGTGTACCGCGAAAAGAAGGAAAATAAAGGTTCTTGCACTGGACTTGGTTTGAAAGAAGTTGTTAGGGCAACCTATGCCCAGGGTTGTTATTCTAAGGTGGTTGTTCTAAGGTTTGGAAGTTTCATTTCAGGTATTTGAATCACTCTTGATAATGCATCTTCCTCCAAGTTGACAATGTCAAGTTAGACAGCAAGGAATGAAAAGATCCAGGAAGATTTGTTTTTTCTTTTTCTTCCCCTTCCTTCTTTCCTTCCTCCTTCCCTCCTTTCCTTTCTTCTTTCCTTTTGGTAAGTATACATTTATTGAGCTCATAATATATTCCATTAATTGTTTTAGAAGCTGGGGATACAGTGATAAATAAAACAGAAAGTTCCTGCCAGACCTCCTGAAACCTGTATTACAGTCAGAGGAGACACACGATACACAAATAAACACGTATAATTTTAGGTAGTGATTAAATGCAGTGAAGAAAAATGAAGCAAGTTAAAAGGCCATATTAATACAGGAGGATAAAGGCCTTACTGAGGAGTTGACATTTGAGCTCTGGTCTAAGTAGAAGGAAAAGAGCAAGCTATGAGAATATAAGGAAAGAGATTTCCAGGCTGAGAAATCAGCCAGTGCAAAGGCCCTGAGGTGGGCAAATGGGAGGCCTGTTCAAAGAAGAGCAAAAAAGCCGGTTTGGTTAGTGTACACTGGAGGAGAGGAGTGTGCTAGGAAATGAGGTCACAGAAGTATAAGCCTCGATCACACAGGACTTTGGATTTTCTTTTCCCTAAGTTTGATGGGAAGCCATTGGAGGGTTTTGCACTGGGAAGCGACTTGAACTGATTAACTTACGGGGAGAAAGAACTCAGAGGCAAGAGGAAAAGCAGAGAGAGCAACTAGGAGGCTATTACAGGAGTCCAGGTGGAGTTAATTGGTGGCTGGACTAGGGGGGTACTGAGGAAGGTTATGAGATGAGGCTGGATTCAGGAGACAGTCTGCAGGAAAAGCTGCAGCGTTTGCTGGTGAATTGGATGAAGGGTGTGAAACAGAGGTCAAGAAAGTCTCTTCTGTCCTTCGGTAAATGAAGATGTTGCCATTTATTTGGGGATTTATTAGGCTTAAGGGGTAAACAGAAGTTTATTTCTGATATGTTAAGTTGTAGGTACCTATTAGATATTCAACTGAAGATGTCAAGTAGACTGTTGGCTATACCAGCTCAGAGTTCACTGGGGAATTATGAAAACTAACACCTGAAGTGATCCCTTGTAGACGGAAAAATCTCAGTTCTCTCTATCCATTAAGGTTTATTCATTCAGGAAATACCTATTGTGAACCTACTGTGTCAGGCACTGGATGCTAGGGAGTACAGCATGGATTTGGACAGAAACAGTCACTACCTTCATTACAATTTAGTTTACTGGTTTGAGATACTTCTCTGAATTTTGTATAAAAATATAGAAGCAACTCTCAAGAGTTATAAATACTGAGATGTTCTCTGACTCAGCAATTTGGAAGAGCTTAGATTTTCAGAAAGGAGCTATATATAGATTTGGACAAATGACAGATTTACCCAATAAAATCTTTGAAGACTGCCTTAAAATGAATCAGAAGAGACTGTCTCCACCAAATTAATGTTTATGAAGAGTCAACTTGGTGTAATGGAAAAGCTCACAGGGCTGGAAGGCAGAAATTCTAGGCCTGTCTGTTCTGCTTGACGAGGTCACATGTATGACCTTGATCAAGCCATTTGGCCATCTTCGGTTTTCTCTTCAACAAATTAACCCATTGGATTCCATGATTTCTAAAGAGCTTTCAAACTATTAATTTTTTTCTTTGTATTAGTTCTTTTACTGGACTCTCATTCCACCTTCTGACATTTACTAAAAAATAAAACCCCAAACCTCAAGGTGATTCTGTTTTAAGCGATCATTTTTTCAGAGCAAAGTAAAGCTGTTTTTTTTCCTTTTTGCAAGTAGATTGCTTTTTTCCTGACTGATGAATGTATTACTGTTAATATATGTTCTTGTGAACATCCTTTTTAGTCTTCAGACCAAAAAAACCCAAACAAACAAAAAACACATTAAACAAAGCAAAACAAAAAAAACCAATTCCTCGCTCTGGGGATTGTTTAGCCTCTAAACTAGAAGGGGACAGTTACAGTCACCAAAGACTGAAATTGCTGGGACAATATCGGATCTCTTAATTATATGTTTCACAACAGCTGATGTCTTACATCTATGGAATGCAGGGAGACAATAACACCAAATACACCGTTCTGATGGCCATAAACAACATCAAAGGTGGCTCTGTTTGAGCAATATCAAGAAAGGCTGCAAAACAGTCCATAGCCCAACCAGGAGTGGTTACCATAGAAGATGGAAGGGTATGTCCTTCCCCCTACACTTGGACCTTCTTCCTTCTGTCTGGCACCAGGATGAGTTTTCTTGGGGCACCTGCGTTCAATTCAACAATTTTTATTGAGAGCCCAGCATCCTTTTGGTTCGTAACTGTCTCAGTAAACCAAGATGGGTTTCTGATTACATCTGGAAATGGATTAAAGTCAGATCCTATCCACAGACATATGCAGCATCTTTATTTCCCGAATTGAATTAGTGGCTAATGTTGAAAAACTAGGACATTAAACATATGAATTTTCAGATCTCTTGAAAATTCATTGGATTTGGCACCAATGGGTTCTTATCGTATGAAGCAATCAGTGAGCCATCGAGGAGTAGCCTCCCACTTGAGAAAGGGTGCGTGTCTTTCAGCACTTTGTAATCCCACCCAACTCTATTGTGTTACATCCTGCCTCCTCTGCTCAATTACCCAACTTGCCACCTCTAACTAATTATGTGAAAGCATCAGGGGGCACCTACTAAGTACCCTCACAAATCAACTTATAAACCAGTTAATTACAGTGCAGCACGGAAAATAAGGTCATGGCATAGCACGGGGACTCTGCCCTGAGAAACTGGTTAGAGGTTCCCAAAAGGTCATGTTTAAGCTGGGTTTTGAAGGCTGAATACGAGTTACTCAGGCAGTTGGGTTGGTGGGGAATACTGCAAACAGTGAGATGGTATTGAAAGCATATAAAGGTCTTCTGCTGCTGATTAGCTGCCTGTTGCATATGTGAACTACCTTTCCCATGAGGGATGCAGGTCTGTCTACAACCCTCTGCTCAGGTCCTCCCATTCCTCCCTTCTGTCAAAACACCAAGGAAGTTTCACCTCTACCAGGAAGAGCCTGCCTGACTAATCCCCACTTACCTCCTGTTACTTCAACTAAGGCAACACTCCAATTTTGAGATAACTAGTTACCTGAGGGTGATTCTGTTATATAAGTTCTTTGTTTTGTTTTGGAACCTCTGACATTTGAAGAACAGACCAGCATTCCAAGCAACTACTGAGTATCAAATACCTACATTGTGTAGAGAACTCTGTCATATATATCATACTTGACCCTAACGACAACCCAGCTGAGAAAGAAGACAAATACAAATAAACTGAAAACAGAGAATACAATCAGAAACATTTATTAAGTGCCTGGTGTTCACAATTTTTTAAATCTCTCTATCCATCCAACACTCACTGAGCACTAAACTAGGGCCAGGCACTGTGCTTGGCACTTGGAAACAGAGACACACTAAAATATATAGGCTAGCAGGTGACATGGATAAATAAACCCATTACAATAAGTTTCCTACCACAGCAATGTTCAAAGTACAGCAACAACTTAGAGAAAGGAGTGTCGACTGCTCCCAGGGATACTGGGCAGGTATGGAGAGAAGCTCGAGCTGCTTATCTTGTTTTTTACTTCTTACAACATTTTACAACAGACACAAAAATAGAGAGATTAGTACAACAAATCACCATGTACCCATAATCTGGCTTTAACAATTAGTAACTCAGAGTCACTTTTGATTCATTTATACCCCCACCTGCTTCCCTCCATCCCGTTGTTTTGTTTTGAAGCCAATCTTAGACATCTTTATCATTTCACCCATAAATACTGAGCTGCATTTGAAGAAGGAACTGGAAATGTCTGAACCTTCCACTAGTAACATCCTTCTCCCCATCTATTCTTCTGCCAGCGACTCTACCAGAGTTAAATGCTGATTCCTGCCAGTGACTCCAAAGCGTTAGGTGGTTCAGGACAAAGACCCAAGACTTTATTGGAGTCTTTGAGTTGGCTAAAGTAAAAGACTGAGCTAACCCAATGAAAAACCCATCCTGTCTTATCCGGAATGCTTACCACATTCTTCTGGTCCTTGGTCATTAAACTGCTGATTCATTAGAAGCTTATTGAGCACGTGTACAAAATGGTGGCTACATTCTACATTCTCATGTGCCCTCAGCAACCTCTGGGAAAACTTCATACAGGCCATCTGATCCAGAGGTGCTTCCTGGCAAAACTGTACGTCTGGCGCTATAGCTTCCACCCATTCAGCGTTTCCTATCACTCTCTGAAAGGTACCAACATTCACGCAGTTACTCAATAGAGAACATTATCCCCCTCCCTCAGAATTGTTCTTTTAAAGCCATCCACTATTGTCCACCTCCAACATCACCCTTCCAACCAGACCACCATTCCCTTCCCTCGAGTACGACAATATTTAAGCATCATTCTACCTTTAGCAACAACCCTCCCTCTCCCCTCGCCCCCAAATTCTCCACGCAGCAGCTGAGTGATCCTTATAAAACCCCCTGCTCAAAGCCCTTTCATGGTTCTTAACACCTACAGGAATCAAGACCAACCTCCCCACGAGGCCCTGCAAAATTTAAGACCTGCAGTTTACTTCAGCTTTATCTGCTACATGTCTCCGCTCGGCCACAACCAAAATGCTCTTTCAGTGCCTGTTTTCTAGGGTCTCTGTGCTCTTACCTGGGAAGCGGTTTTTCTCTCATAAATAATGAAAGCTATACCTACTGCGCCCTTGCTTACATGCGTTATCTCATGAGTCCACAACACTAAGAAGTCATCATCTTCAGTTTGCAGATGGAGAAATTGAGGATGGGGACCTTACCCATGGTAACACAGCTAGCGAGCAGAAAAGCCAAGAATCGGGGCTCCAGAAGCCACCGGCTTAAACACAGAGCCCTTGCCTACCCGCACAACCCTCCATCGTTGTAGCACTCTCTTAGGGATGGACAGACCCTGGCTACGTAGGGGCGGGGATGGGGGGGCGGTCGACGAAGCAACGAGGCTTCTGATTGGCCGCCTCTGGGTACGGCAGTAGAGAGGGCGCGGGAGCGTCGCGGAGAGATGACGCAATGACGCGGCTCCTTAAAGATACCGACCCCTCGCGCTCCGGATGGCGCAGGCGCGTTTTAGGAGCTCGCGCTTGTTCACAGAACGCTCCGAGCCGGGCCGAGCGGGCGCGCGCGCGCGCGCGGACTGTGCAGACGGGGCGCGCGCCGGACGTGGACCGCTCCAAGGGTCCCGCGGGGCAGCGTCTGGAGCCGGTTGAACTAGCTGACTAGCCAGCACCACGATGGCCGAGGGCAGTGCCGTGTCCGACCCTCAGCATGCCGCGCGCCTGCTGCGAGCGCTCAGCTCTTTCCGCGAGGAGTCCCGCTTCTGCGACGCACATCTGGTCCTCGACGGGGAGGAGATCCCGGTGCAGAAGAACATCCTGGCAGCGGCCAGTCCGTACATCAGGTGAGGAGGGGGCCGGGCGGGGCCGCGTTGCCCGAAGCCTGGGGGCGGGGCGGGCCGGGCGGGGCACTGGAGTCCCTGTCCCCACCCCTCAGCCGCCGGGGTCCCCCTGGTCACCGTTCAGCGCGGAGTCCCTCCCGTCAGACATTCCTGCGGGCCCCCATGACAGCTCCTGTGGCTTCGCCCACCTCCAGACCAGGCCCCCCACAGGTCCCCCACTCCTCGTGGAGTTGACCCCGGACCCGGGCCGCAGTCCTCCACCCTCTCTCCGATTCTCACAGCCCGGCGCTCGCCGCGGCCTCCGAGCCCCGGAGGCCCCCAGATTCCCCCAGGCGCAGTCCTGGGCGGGCCGGGGGGACCTGCACCCGCGAGCAGGGCGGGGCCGCAGCTGGGAAGAGCCGCCCCCTCGGCTGGGCCCAGTCCGCGGATTCCGGCTGAAGTTTGCCTGCTGTTCGCCTCCAAACCGACGCATAGTCGCCCCGACTAGGGGCAGGAAGCGCCCCTCCTGCGGAGAAGCCAAACAAACAACCTGCACCCGAGTGTAGGCAGAGGGAAAACCTTATTGGATCTGCATCTTAGAATAGGCGATCTGACCCCCCAAGGCCAAAGTTCTTGTCTTACGAGTCTTTTCCACTCCCTGTGGGAACTCCTTTTGAAAGGACTGTGCGTTATAGACACACGTTGAAGTAAGCTGTAGTGAATTTTAAAAGACAGTGTAATTCTCAGGATGCGGTTACAACTAAAGAACCAGGAGGTTTTAGCGACTCAGGGCATTTTAAAACTTCAGTAAAACATAGCTTAACCTGATTTTCCATATCAACTAATCAGGTTAATTAAAGGTTGATAAGATAGTGCTTAACCAAGTGTATCAGATCTTGCAGAGGGCGGTTAACTTATAGCAACTTTCTTGCAAACTGGGTTGCTCTTTTAATAAAAGAAAAAAATGCTAAAAGCTGGAAAAACAGCACAGTAAGCTGGTTAAGTATAGACTAATAGTAGAGAATGTCACTAAAATTGACAGGTTAGAAAGAGCAAAATGATGTGTACTGCATCCTTAGTGTTCTGTCCTAGCAGAACTCAGCACACAAACTACGTTTTAATCTTTGCATTGGGAGACATTTGTGCTAACTCAAGCAGTTCAAGTGCTCTTGTAACTTCTCCTGGCTCTCTCTTTCGTAAATCCATTTGCACTTTGTGGATTTAAAGGTGTTGTGGGGGCCTGGGGGTGGGGGAGTCTTCCTTACTAGGGGATTTGATTGCCAATATGACAGCTCATAGCTGGCAGTTCAGAGGTTTGAGCAATCAGTCTCAAATTGGAATCAGCAGGCCACAGACTTCCCGGTATCCAGTGTTCTCTGTTTGGGGAAATGCTTAGGAAAACTACTCAAATGCATTATTGTTGTAATTCTTTAAGTGGCATCCAGCCGACTTAAAAGAAAATTTTAAATCCCAAACACATGCTCTCTATCCCCTTTTCATGCTTTATTTTTCTCCACAGCATTTACCAGTATAATGCACCCTATATTTTACTTATTTACTTTGTTGATCTTCCCCAACCACAATGTAAGCTCAGTGAGACCAGGGATTTTTCTTTTGTTCATTATTGTGTCCCTGGCAGCCAGAAAAAATAGAGCCTGGTGGTTTAGCAAATGTGTTGAATGAGTGACTGCCTGTCTTTCTACCACCACAGATTGGGCATTAGAGGATTGGCTCTGTTACATTTCCATTTCAGATACTCAGTTATCCCTAATTGAGAAGAGCATGGGACCTGCTTTTTCCTTCAATCTTTTATACTTACAGCTGTGAGTTCTGGTAGGTGACTTGATCTTGGCTTCAACACACTATAAATGAGAGATAAAATGTATCTTCTTCTCATTTAATCTTTGACCCACCCTGTGAAGGAATATTTAATAGTGCTTTGAACATTTCACAGGTCTGCACATAGATCTGTAAAGGTGGTAGTATTCACTGCTATATCTGCTGAATTAAGAAAGGTGGGGTATCCACTTGTGACATGGTGGCACATAATGCGAATATTTAGTAATGTGAAATATTACTTATTTATAACAGTAATTTAGGTGTGAAATATTGCTAATCAAAATAAGAGAGCCAAAGGGACTTATGATCTCCTCTAGTCCAATTCTATTACTTTCCAAATAAGATAATGGGCTCAGTGGACATTAGTGACTTACCATGAGGTTACTTATACTTAATGGTTGAACTAAGATTAGATGCCACAGTAATGAAACTTGTCTCCTACTCATTTACCATACAAAGTTATAGCATTACTCGTATACAAAGTTACAGCATTACTCGTATTTAACTATTCTTTGTGTAAACTTTACTAGTTACTTACAAGGTTATGATACTAATTTTTTAAAGTACTTTGACATACTGTCTCATTTTGATTTAAATTTTCAACCATCTTGTGCAGTAGGTAGGGCAGATATTTTTGACATTTTACGAATCAGTCAATTTGTGTTTCTTTTTTCAGTAACTAATTGCTTTAAGATTTTTTTGGCTATTGAATTGGTAGAACGTTCTTGGGTAGTCTTTTAAAATTATCGATCTCAAGGCCACTTACAAGTAATTTGACTAATCCATATTACTAGTGAGAAACAATCTAGTAATTTTTGATACTAATGATAACTGGACTTTTTTATAATATATGATTTGTTTGAACAGAACTTTAATTATATTGAAACAGTGAATTTGTATGTTCTGTAATTTGATGTTTCTTACTTTCCTTTTTGAAGCTTAAGCATTGAGGTCTGTGATATCGTTAATATATGAATTGGATGTTCAAAAGTTTGATAGTCTGAAGTTTTATAAAAATCTATTTAATGTCTTTAGTTAGCCCAGTTTTATTAACTGTCATAAGCCTCTTAAGTGTGATTTGGAAACAATGTTATATATTGCTCAACAAAGGGAACCAATCCAACTTTGTCAAACAGAATTAAAGCAACTCATTTGGCATAATTTCTACTTAATATAGAAAAGTTTTTTATCTTATTGATTTAATCTTTTCCTGTGCTTTATCTTTGATTTAGCATTTGTTTTTCCTTCTGATTGTCTTAGCTATCATACCACACCAAAGGTATAGTATAAAAGGAAAAAGCCAGAAAACTCAACTTAAGTAACAAATCTCTAATGATAACCTGAAGAAAGGTTGTGTAGAGTATGTGTCATGCAGCCTTAGGATACAGATGTTACAGAAAGGCAGGCAGGCAGGCGGCACCTTCCGTAGTCCATCATTCAATTCAGTACGCCCTCTTCCGGATTTTTCCTCATTTTGATCCCTGAATGACACTTTTTCCTTTGTTTTGTTGGTAAAACTAAATCTTAATGCAGCTGACAACCTTTAAGAATGCTGAAATTGAATTCATGGCTGTAAGGACCCACAGAATCTTTCCTTTCTCAGCAACCCTGGACCTTCTGGGAAAGGTTCCCTGAGGCTTACAGGAAATTTCCCTTTCTTCTGAATATTGCAAAGTTTGCTTTGCTTCATGTCTGAGGCTCTTCTGATTCTGGCACAATCCCAATAGTCTGATGTGGAGTTCAGACTCCTTTCTCTCATGAGCTATGGATCTTGTGGAGTAATGTATGTGAAAAGGATTTGAAAATGAATTGCTGTGTGATTTTGCAGTAACATTATAGTGGCTCTGTACATGTCCTCGTTCTGTATTCATTTTTGAGAATTTTAGTTTTTTGGGGGGATCTGTTGGAATATTAGTTTGGAGAGAAAGAGTCCCAAGATTTTTGGATTCTTTGATGAACCAGTCAACAATAAGAATGGCAGTTTTCCCCTCCTCGTTTTTTGAGAAAAAGCTTCTTTAGTGAGGGTTGAGTGAAGACATTGGGCCTAGAATCCAGCCTAGGTCACATTGGACACCTTTTCTGGGACTTAGTTTCCTCATATGTAAAGAAAGGTTGATTGGGCTACATGAACAGCAAAGCCCCTGTAAGTCTAAATTATGTCGCTCTATGCTATTTTTGTTTTGCTTTGTGTGTGTATGTTGTGAGGAGGGGTCTGTTTCTGTTCTTAACAGCTTTATTGTATTATTTAAGTTTTGTTTTACATTGACATTAAAGCAATCCTTTGCCTTGTTATACAGGACTTGGTTGGGTACTCTCCTATGTAAACTCATCCTTATAGAGTTGTTTTGTAACAAGTACATATTTTATGCTGTTAATCCAGATGTATTCCAAGGCCTAATTATTGATGAGCCTGGTTTTCCATTTAAATATAAAATTTGACTCGTGGATGATGCTGATGAAACTACTTAAGGAGACTAATATGATCTCTGTAGGAGTCCAGTTTTCATAGTAACATAGAAACTATCATCCTCTCTTTGGGTACCTGAAATTCGCCCTATAGTTTATGGGCACCAAAATCCATTAGTATTGTCTGCTGTGTGAAGGGCATGCTCTTAGTCTCCAAGTCCCTTTTCTTCCTCTTGTGCTGTGAGTTTATAGTCATCTGTGTATATAGCAGCTCCTGAATGATTATTATAAAGATTTTGAATGGCAATTTTAGCCTGTGACGTTTTTTAGTGCTCAAAGGTTCAAGTTCAGGTAGAAGCTCCAGGTTCTGAGACTCTTCCTGAAAACCTGAGCATTTTTAAAATCAAATTGACTACACATGTCTCCTGCTGTGCTCTTATAGTGATGGGAAGGAAATAAGTTGAGCCTGGGAAGGAAATAAGTTAGGCATGAATGTTTTTTAATGGTTCTAGGCCTTGTTTGTTTTTATCCATCTGCTGTAAGGCATCCTAACAACTGCTTAAAAGATGAAATAGATCCTGAAGGGCTTGTAGTCACATGGTTGAAAATGATTTTTTCTCTTCCTTCCTCTCTTCCCCCTCTATGTTTTCCTTCTCTTCCTTTTCAGTATTTCCAATCATGTTTGATTAAACCCTGTTCTTATGTGAGTTTTTCAAAAGTGATATTAAAATATGTTCAGTTTCAGAAGATCAAAGAAGTATTTTCTCTAGGCTTCTAAG